GCACTTGGCGAGAGGAACGGCTGCAACCAATGTATAAAAAGGGGGAGTCCTACAGGCAGTAAGTAGTCTTCTCTCCGCCTCTTCGGTACGGACGTAACTGACCTGTGTGTAGTCTGAGCTCAGCCGGATGCTTTGAGTTTTGCTGAGAGCCCCTTTCCCAACCCTCTCAGGCGTGCCTGACGTGCTGTCTGAGAGGGCGCTTCTATCCGACGCTTTTCCTCAGACGGTGGTGGCTGACTGCAGTCCCAGACCTACATTTATGTATCTGAGACTACTGCTGCTATAAGAAATCTATTTTCAGGCAGCGCACGGAGAGAAGCCAAGACAACAAGCCCGATAACCCGTCGCTATGCTCGGGAAAATTCTACCAGGTAAGTTACTGCAGGCTGTATGTTTATTTCAGGCAAACAAATGTCTACACGTCTATCATAATCACCTCAGACATGCAATTGTATGTCAGGCGAACGCCTTGAATTTTACCTGAGCACAACAACATTGTTGCGCACACCGGCCCGTACACGAGAGTCCCTACGAGCCGACTTGCGGGGCGCGACGACCCCCCCCTCCAACAAAACACGGCCTCCCAGCCCACTTGCTTCGTTCTGAAACCAACTAATGATGCTCGTAAAATATACCACGTCGCAGGTTTTCTCTCCCAGTCACTGCAAAATACATGGCTTTCAATACCCTCTACAAAACCAACAAAAAAGTGAAAATGAAGATCCAACAATGTGCCACTACCATATAACTTTGCCCAAAGAAAGGGATTGCAGGTGTGAAAAAGAAGATCCAACAATGTGCCACTCTATAACTTTGCCCAAAAGGGATTGTAGGTGTGCGTGTTCTTTAGGTCCTCCGATGGCTCTAGCATTTGTGACCACGGACCGAGTCTTTGCTAGATTTTGGGATAATTTAGCAACTTACACGAGAAGATTGTTATATGAAGACGACAACAACAAAAACAACAACAACAACGAAGAGTATGCATACCATACACCACTGTTTTGTGCATTTCGACATCTCTCCAACAGGTACTGCAGATTTCGTCTTCAGTTGTTCTCCGCTGTCCGGACAAAGATATATATATATATCTGCTAAACACAAGACCTCGCCGTGTACCCAGAATCCCTTAGAAAGCCCAACAAAGATTTCCAAGCTACGCAGTTTGTTATCCATGCAAACAGGAGGCAAAGATAACAAAATCTGGGCTAAAAGATGTGCTGCTCATGATTTATTTGTGTTCAACACGACCAAGCGCAAGTTAACAACTAGTGAACGCAGAAAACAAAAACTCCAAGAACGTGTGCACAAGCAGATCATCTTGTATGGGAGGCAGAGCGAATTTCCACACCGACAACGAAAGAAAAAAGAGATATTTCATACTTGTATCCTTTTTCTTTACATTGTTTCTCGCAGGCGGTTGACCGCTCTCCACACCTATTCTTAGTGTGCAAAGAGCTAAGACCAACGAAGCTATGTATTTACACGAAAGGTTTGTGGTACTTGGATATGAGTCCGATCTGTGTATCCTCTGTGGGGAATACCGTATGGTGTGATGGGTATGTATGCGGTTGGGGTCCAAGTGCGCCCCCCCCGAGAGAGCACACGGCGGTGTGCTCCTGGCACTTGACTGAGGGGCTTGCGTGTTGGATACCACTCGCCTGAGCGAGCACTCCATGTCGTAGGTAGTGTGACCAGCTTGCCTGAGGAGCTTGCGTGTCGGATATATAATACATGGTCCTTTTCATCTGCTGTTCCTGGGATAACATAGTACCCAGTCTCAACACTACAGACAGCTGAGGGCTGTAGTGCCACAAACACGAAACACCGGCAAGTGGTCATGTACAAAAAACGTTGGGAGAGCCCCATCGCGTTTGTTTGACAACAACAACAACAAAAATCGAGAACACGAGACACAGCATCTACTACTCCACAAAAAGTCGAAAACAAAATCAAGCCACATGGTACAATCGAGCCAGTTCCAGAGTTTGGAAAGCGCAAGGCATCACGCGTGTTCCCACACAAGATGGAGGTCTGCGGTCGTAGGCGACCAAAATAGTACTGGGGGCGGGGGAGGGGGGGATTCTGTCCGGGGGGTGGTGCTTCGGAGAGCCTTGCATGCCAACCAACGCCTCCGCAACACGGGAACGATTGCTTCTTCTACTGGTGTCAAATCATAGTAGTCTACGTAGACATGCTAGCTAACCCTAAGCCGAACCCTTTTATAGCTGGCCTTACCTCGGGATCCCGTATGATATCCACGCTACCGTGTTAGGATGATCCGAACTCGGGGTAGCTTGTCGCAAGACGTGTGTTGAATAGGATGTCGGCAACTCGGCGAGCTCGCGCCAAGGAGGAAAGACGTGTTGGGTTTGTTGCGTAAACTTCTTCTTCACATGAACTGAACGCACACGCGCACGCACCATCAATGAGGGATCGACGCAGTATACAACAGGGGTGTACCTTACACACCCTGGAGATATATTCCACGTACCACACATTCCTACGGTATTCCGCGCAACATCATTCAATGGGAACATTCCGTATCAACCACTTGGCATTGCTACAAGCATATCTATCACAAGCTCTGGAGATATTTTTTGAGCTTGACAAACAATACTCTTGGGTAACAACCTCTTGAGAGCACGAAAAAAAAGGGGTGCCCCCGTACCGGACCACCTGATTGCATTGCTTACTCAGGATATGGTTTGCAGACGTCATTCTGCAGGATACTGTAGACCAATGGTGTGACAGGACACGCTAAACTCCGCGAAGCATCCCTCCCTTTTTGGCGCAACATGGCTTCGACAAGTCTATGAGCAAGTGCATCCACAAAAAAGGTGCCCCATTTCTTCTCTCGCTGGGGGCGAAGTAAATGCGGAGCATAAGCGTGGCAAATATTGTTGAGTCAAACTCACAAAATTAGCCAAGGTGCAAGTCCTCAACCATATGAGCAGCCAGTAGGTGGCTTGGTCACGGCCATCTTCCCGGCAGCTAATGCAGCCGGAAGCGGGAGCCTCGTCTGGCCATCAACGTAGTACCAACCGTTGCATAGCACCGTGGTGATCGATCGGCATGTGTGCGGCCATGACTGGAGAAGGGGGTAGTGGCGTTACAGTTCGTGTTGCGCTTGCCTCGCGGTACACGAGAGCCCGCGAGCCGACTTGCGGGGCTCTACGAAAAATAAAGAAAATACATCGCCCCCTTGCCCACTTGCTTGCCTACCGCTTGTACGTAGCAGCTGTTCTTTCCCAGTCACTGCAAAATATGGCTGTCAACACCCTCTACCAAACCAAAAGTGAAAATGAAGATGATGGATCCAAAAAAAGTGACACTATTTTAACTTTGCCCATAAAGTATGCATACTACAGTTGTACACCACTGTTTCGTTCATTTCGACCTCCCTCTGACAGGTACTACTACTCCTGTACGTCTCGTCTTCAGTTTCTCTCTGCTGTCCGGACAAAATAGTTTTCTGCACAACATTAGGCCTCGCTGTACCTATTGTAGATTCCCTTTAGAAAACCAACCAAAATTTCCAAGGCTCTCTGAAACCTACGCAATTTGTGATCCAACCAAACAGGAGGCAAAGATAATAACATCTGGGCTTCTACTCACGAAAATGTGTTCAAAACGACCAAGTCCCAACTCAACAACAACTGAAAAAAAAAATCCAAGAATGTGTGTGCACATAAGCTGAGCATCCTTTTTATGGGAGGCAGAGCAAACTTCCACACGAACAACAAAAAATAAACAGAAAATCAATTTTCTTTTTTGTACAAGTGATTCTCGCACGCGGTTGCACGCTCTTACCCCCTTTTCTTAGTGGGAAGAGCTAAGACCAACGAAGCTATTTACACAAAATAACGACACCGGCAAGTGGCCATCTACTTTCAAAATGTCGGGAGAGCCGTGTTTGACAAAAAACGTCTAGCATACGAGACACAACATCCACTACTCTATGTATGGTACAATCGAAACCTTTCCAGAGTTTGGAAAGCGCAAGGGATCACACATGTTCCCACACAAGATAAATGTCTGCGGTCGTAGGCGACCTACAGAAACCGGGGGCAGGGGAGGGGGGGATTCTTTGCGGGGGGGGGGGGGATTCTGAGAGCCTGGCATTACAACACCCCCCACAACACGGGAACTTTTTCAATTCCTCTACCGGTGCCTAACTACAGTTCACAAAACGTGCTAGCCAGCGAGCATGGGCCCTGCGGTGGTGGCGCTGTGCGGCGCAATGCACGGACATACCCGTCTGCCGCCTGCTGCTGCCGGTGGGTACATCCGCCATCGTCGAACACGAAGAAAAGCCTCGACCGAAAAATCAATCAGCGTCCATCCCTCGGCGGCACGCGGCAAACGAGCACCCCACTCCTCAACCCTCCTTTCCTCAGGCTTAGGTCAGCCTTTCTCACCAAACGGCCATCAAAACACGCTACGCCGGTCTTGACCGCTGCGATTGATTGCGTACAGAGCTTACGCTGCACCGGGCTTGACTGCTGCGGCTGGCGTACGGAGCTTTATGCCCCACCGTAGCGAGGGTATCACTCTGGTGGAAAACATAAGGACCGTTCGGGTGCCAATTTGAATGGCCCCAATATTGCCGAACAAAGTGGTCCCAATATTGCCGAACAGAGTGGCACAGAACGCGCCCAAATGGAAGAACCCAGGAGTCAAGAAATTGACCCTAAAATAAATCAAAGCACTAAAGAAATTGAGCACCAGTGGTGAGCTCGGTTGAGAGCCCCTACACTAAAACCTATATAGCGACCACTCGTAGCATTACCTCGGCCGAAACTCTTTTAAAGGTTATTTAAGTGGGGGCGCGTTCTGTGTCTCGAAAGCGCAGAACTACAACCCCAACCAAAAGGGGCGGAGTCGTCTGGCGACGTACTTCTGCCCCCTTTGCAAATTGTTCACCCTATCGTGGAGCAGCAGAGAACTACTGCCCCCCTGCCGTTGCCGTTGTCGTCGATGATGCATGCGGTGGCGTACTAGAGATACCCGATGCTATTGGCCCTTACCCTCGACGCAGCCGACGCAGGGCTGACATCTCCGGGGATGGCATTCTCGGCGGCAATAACAGCGGGCCAGGAGATAAGCCGCTCGGGGGCGCTGATGCTCCTACGCGGCAATGGAGGAGGAGGCCTGAGGCTGAGAAGAAGGGCGGAACCGGAGACCGCTGCGGCGACGATGGCCGGCGGTTCCACCTCGGGGCCGGTTCCCGCAGCTTCACCCGCGGCGTTAGGAACGTTCTCCGTTCCCTGCGGCGGCGGCAGGACCGGTGCTGCCGGTTCGGCGACATTTGGCGGGGCCCCCTCCTCGTCATCGTCTCCCAACACCGGTGCGGGTGGGCCGGGGCGCGCCCTCCTCTTCGCCTCCAGTTGTCTCCGCACCATCAGCACGAACACGGTCCACGCGAGCTTCGCGCATCGCCCCAGCTTCGCAGCATACGGACGAAAGCCAGCACGCGATCAAGCAAAGGGGAGAAGAGTAACCGATGATGATTAGGCCATGCGTGGGCTTAGGTGTTCATTAGAAAAAGAAAACAGAGATTTTCGAGTTCGCAAACATTCTGGCCTGTTGATCTTTTTGGTGTGTGGGGTCCAGATGTCCATTCTAACGTTTCTAGAGATTTTTCGAGCGTGCAAACAAAAGCTGGGCTGACGGTCATTCACCTGTGTGGGTTCAGATGTCCGTGCCAACATTTTGAGAGATTTTCCGAGCGCGCAAACGTATTCTGGGCTGATGATCATTCACATGCGTGGGGTTTAAGGTGTCCATGCCAACGTTTTGAGAGATTTTTCGAGCGTGGAAAACAATATTCTTGGGTAACATCCTCTTGAGAGCACGAAAGAAAAGGGATGCCCCCGTACCGGACCACCTGATTGCATTGCTTACTCAGGATATGGATTGCAGACGTCATTCTGCAGGAAACTGTAGACCAATGGTGTGATACAACACGCTAAACTCCACAGTGCATGCCCCCCGTTTCTGCGCAATATGGCTTCGGCAAGTCTATGCGCAAGTGCACCCACAAGAAATATGCACCATTTCTGCTCTCGTTGGGGGCGAAGCAAATGTGGAGCATAAGCGTGGCAAACATTTTTGTGTCAAACTCACAAAATTAGCCAAGATGCAAGTCCTCAACCATATGAGGAGCCAGTAGGTGGCTTGGTCTCGGCCATCTCCCTGGCAGCTAATGCAGCCGGAAGCGGGAGCCTCGCCTGGCCATAAACGTAGTACCAACCGTTGCATAGCACGTGGTGATCGATCGGCATGTGTGCGGCCATGACTGGGGAAGGGAGTAGTGGCGTTATGGTTCGTGTCCACTCCTCCTGTGCATATTTGACAAATTCTGTCATTAACCTACCGCACACACGCGGTACGCTATACTATGCCAATTGCCCACCAAAACAAAGATCTTCACTGCGACGATGACGCTCTGATTGATCCATGTTCAAGGGAGGAGGAGAGGCAGGGAAAACCCGAGGGCGCAAAACACGCTCGAGGATGCACGTAGCACGAACGGGTGGCTGTCAACAACGAAAAGAGACTCACTGGTCTAACGCCGTCGATGCTGGTGTTATTGATTTTATAAATGACCCGCCAATTTCACCGTAGATCCTGACGGCATAAGGAAAAAAAAAACGCGGGTCGCAGGCCTGACCTCTAAACTTGCAAAAAAAAAAAGCTAATGTGCGGCCTCTACATGTGGAGAAGCTTGATTATTGCAACTATGCTGGAGCCGGAAATATGGCAGCGAGATGTAGGCAAACCGAATACCAAAGAAACAAGTCAACGACAACAATACCCAACGGGAGAGAAGAGCTACCTCACTGCTCTGACAGGGAAACTGAACAGCAACGACAATAAAAATGACATTTCCTCGCGAAAACCCCGATGGAAATGATACGCACCAGCACCAGCAGCGGGACAAGTACCGGCAGCGGCGGAGAATAACCACGGTGGCAGATGGTGATTGGCCTCCTCGCTGTACCGTTTGGAGGGCCAGGTGCCATAGGAGTCAGGTGGGAAAATGAGCGCCGGGGGGTTGGGAAAGGGGTCATTGCATTTAGCAGACGCAGCATAGACTAGACTAGTTTAGGGTAAAGGCGACGGACAGTAGTGTTTTAGGTGTCTGCACGAGGAATGGAGGAACAGGCGATTTTGCTGATGATGATCGTGTCGTTGGTGGCCCTCTCGATCTGCGCCTAGTGGATACTGCGCCACTCGGTGTTTGCCATCGGGATTGGGTTTTCGTCGCTTGGCAACGACGTTGTAAAACAAGCCAGTTCACTTCGTGAACTCGGCAACCAGGTTACCGTCGGTTTTTTTTACCTCTGTTTTTTTTTTTGGCGGTAACCATAATGGTGGTCGAGTAGATCATGTTGTGCGGGGTCGAGAAACCTCACTCCGCGCAACGGGGGATGATCGCACCACGTTGTGTTAAAATGGTCAAGCTTCCTCGAGGCAGTTACACAGTGCTTACAACTGTCTCTGGAAGTGATAGCACCAGAAAATAAATTAAGTCATACGTAGCTGTCATCCGTACGCAAGGAAGTAAGCACAAGATGCCGAACACCCTTAGCAGGATGCAGCTCACCCTTCATGCGACTCGCCAAATACCTCACGGCGCTTCGCGCTTGGTGATGTGAGAGCCTGGTCCGGTGAGAACCCGGCGTGCTCCGTCCCGGCTTTGTAGGGATGCGAGGTCAATGGTCAAACGACTACGGCATGCACGACTATGAGTACACCCCCCCCCCCCCCTCCTTTGTCCTCTCTGGTACAGCCATTAGCGTCCCAACCAACGCGGAAAAACTTGTCATCCCTAACTACCTCTGTTGAAGTATCCCCACCCCACACACACGAGGTAGCCTTGGCGTGCTACCTGAGAGATTACTGTTGTAAGGTCAAAGTCTATCCCATGAGGATTGTAGAACTGTGCACATCCTTTCTTTTCTGAGAACGTATCTGGTCTAGACTACAGCAGTGACTCAAATCAAGAAAAATGATCGATTGACAGCAATAACGTCCGCGTACCCGTGGCCATGTGGCTGAGATGGGCCGTTGTTGTTCTCGGCGGGAGAGTCTCCCGTGAAAAAGCCGGCCGGTTTCTGCGGATAGACGGCGGAGACGGTGGCCTCCCACCACGTGCCAGCCGTTGGGGACGACGACCACAGCAGGATGAGGCAGAAGAGCACCAAGAGGCTCAAAATCAAGCGGCTGGCCATTCTCCCTTTCGCTCGGCCTTGTTATTGGTGATCAGTGTAGCAGTATCCTGTCACACGGACAGCGGGGGGGGCACCGGCACACGAGAAGGTTGGCAATTCTGCTGATGAGAATCATATTCGTTCTTGGCGAGGGGTGGTTTGAGCACTGTTGTTGCAAGTGAGGGACAAGAACATGAAGATATGTTGTGTTGATAAATGGACGGGGATTTACCGCGCCGACACGACAGGTAAAAGGTTGGCTCTGTGTCTGGCTGATGGGAATCTCAAGAACTGGAGATACAGAACGCGCCACCACTTGAAAGACTCGTGTTTAGGCCAAGGCTCGTTTCGTAATTGGTCTATGAGGTCACCTACCTCCACGGCGACCACATAGGCTTTTAGTGTATCGTGGGACGCTTGACTGAGCACGTGTTCTCTCTTAGCGCCAAGTTCTTAGAATTTTGCTCACGTTCTTACCGCTATGAAAGCTCTTAGGTGGTGGCATGCCCTCAGTATTGGAGGGGGCTTTACCGCAGCTCATCGCAACGCACATCGCAACCGCAGAGTTTATTGATCGCCGGTACAACAGCTTGGGTACAGTAGGTAGAGTTATGTAGCGCCCGCACTAAATCTTGGCAGTTAAAAGGCCTTGATGCTCAACATTTACATCAAAACGTAAGCTCTTGAGCAACCATTTTGTTTTGCAATCGCGGTCAAGAACACCTACACTACAACCTACGTGGCGGCCATTTGTAGTAAATACTACTGGTACATGTTAAGACCTACGGACCCCAGCCTCGACCAAACTACCTCAGGTTCCATACGTAAGATAAAATTGCCTTCATACGTAAGATACCACACCCCCAGAACCGATTTTCAAAGCTTCATTGCTCCACGACGAAGAGGATGCTGAAATCAAAGGATGCGTTGTCGGAAAGCTCTCGACGAGACGGGTTCCAACGCCTCCCGCCATTTTGGGCACCGTAACTGCTTTTCCTGCCGAGCAATCGAGCTTTGAGAACCTGTCAAGGGGGAGCGATATCTGACGTAACTTACCGCGATGATAGAGAGTGCTGCCACGGTAAACTGCGGTGCACATCAGTTCGGAGACATTCGAGGAGTCTGATCACGCTACACAAGCTTGCTTCCATTCCAAACAGAACGCGTGTGCTCAGAATCATCTTCCACAACAGACAGAACAGCAACATCCGCCGCCTGCGCATTACTTCTGACGCTGTTGTGTGAAATACCAAACTTGCGCCTTCTCTTGCGCCCATGCTAACCCCGCTCTTGCCGGGGGATCCACGGTCAAGCAAGCAATCCTCTCACACGAGAAGGCCCTGGCGCAAGGTTCTCGTGGGGTCTTGGTCGAGTGGAAGAGAAGAGAAGAAACACCAAAACGAACATAAAAAAGCGGGTAGACATAATCTACAGCAATACAATACGAAGATGCAAAAAACAAAACACACACACACAAACAACACACGGAAAAAAAACGGCTCGCCGCGGCACACAATTTGCCGCCGATTCGTATTCGCGACGCGTGCCGCGCAGCATTTGATCATCTACGGGTCGTCTTGCGTAGGGTTTGCCCAAGCCTCATTGGTCATGTCTGTACGCTTGTTGTTGTGTAGAGAGACACCGCCGTTCCACACCGGCGAAAAGGCATGCATTCGTACGTCAACAAGATGCGGTGGAGGAACGGTGTATCTCAGAATACTCTACGTACAATGGTTGGCGGCAGCGTCCTTTGGTCCGAGCAAAAGACGAACAAACCGAGAATCAAAGTACTAGACAGAGAGTAGGGTTCCAAACAGGAGAGGGCAAGCAAGCATTCCGGTTATCATCGATTGCTCTAGAAGCACCGACACAACAGCCACAGCGAGGAGTGAGCAGTGAGGGAGGGGGTATACACACACCAACCACATCGAAAAACGGGATCGCTATTTCACCCTACACTAAATTCCTTGGGTTTGGTGGTGGTGCTGTGCTATGCCAGACCCTGTGAGCAGAGCAGGTCTCATGGTATAGACCAAAAGAAGAGGCGCTCGCATGTCGACCAAACTACGCGGTCGACCTGAACGACGATTCGTCCCCAACAAAAGGACGACTGCTGGACACGCATGCATTTCTTGGGACGCAAAATCTGTTGCTGCACCTTTTGCGCTGAAACCAAGCGGCATCCAAAGGGAAGACGTCAAGCACAGTATCGGACGCACGGACGCATGGCGTCTGCTTGTCGCTGTTTGTCGCACATGAACCAGAAATTGTTCCAGACTCCCTACAACAGGCAGCGTCAGCAATCAACAAAGGGTTGGACTTTTCCCCTCCTACCAGAGCCCCCCCCGCGGAGATTCCTACATATACCACGACAACCCATCCCATCCATCCACAACCTCGCCCCGTGCACCCGTCCCTTCGCTGCCCTCTCTGCGTACATTTATCTCTCATCAATTCTTTCTCTCGCTCCCATCCGAACGGCAAACAACCTACCGCGGTACTCTGCTCACCGGCGTGGTCTCTACCGCGGTACTCTGCTCACCGGCGTGGTCTCTCTGTCCTCCGGCGAAAGGCAGATGCGTGCTCGCGTGCTCCCACTATCCTTCGCGGTCCTTCCACTCTACGTTCTTCGTGTCCTCGTTGCTCCCCCTTGTCCTAGTTGCTCCCCCTCTGTGCCTGCCTGCGACGGCTGCCCCTCCTCTCAGTCTTTGCCCCTGGTGCAGAGAATGGCACGGGTGCGTGCCGATTGTTTATGCGGATGCAAGAATTAATTCCTTCGTTGTTCCGTCCCACCCAACCATTGTTTCATACGGGACTGTCATGTTGGTGGACGTGCCAAGCCAATCAAATCATGCAATCCCTTCGTCCCCAAGGCCGAACTCTCATGCTCGCATGTTTCATGTTTCCATCCCTCCTGCCACTCGCCCACCTGACGGGATAGAAAGCCTCTGCCGAGAAAGCGGCGACACGAGAGATCGAGCTACGATGCATGAACTACATCATGTAGTAGTGACGCCGAACTTGGCAAGAGAGCAGCAGCAGCAA